ATATGGATAAGGATGAGAGATTTTCCAGAAATCTCTTCTCTCTTTTCTTCTTCATTTTCTCTTCTCCACGTGAAAAACTCAAAGCAAAGGTGAGTTCTCTAATTTCTTGATTGTTTGTTGATTTTAAGCATGAGTTTTGATCCTTAGAGGATAACTAAGCTTAAGGAAAGCTTAAGTTATTTTAAAATCAAAAGATGAAGAAGTTATAAGAGATTTAAGAAAATGAGTTTTTATATGGAATCATGGAATAGAGTTGATAAGTTGAATTTTAAGTTGAATTTGACTTGTCATCTATGAGAATAAGAAGATAGAAGTGTTAGAATTGTATTTAGAACATATGGAAAATTAAGTATGATTCTTGAATTTCATATGAAGGATAGGATTTTGAAGTTATAGATGATTTTCATGGATATAAGTTAGTTTAAGTAATGGTAGTTGAGTTTAATGACATGGTAGGGGTTTAAAATAGAAGAATTGAATGAAAAATTGATGATTTTCGAGCTTAAAATATAATTTATGGGTAGAGGGAACCGATACCCTATGAATGGGAATCGATTCCCCCTCTTAAACGAAAAATTCCAGTATGTTCAGGGGGTATCGATTCCCTTGGGGGGTATCGATTCCCCCCTAAATAAAAATATAGAATTTGATTCATAAAACCGGTTTAAGTTATTAACATAAAGTTTAAAGTTTAGGCTTCTGATAGTTGTTTTGAAATGATATATTTATGTAGATATTGAGCCTAAACAAGTTCCGGAATAATCAAAGGATTATAATCGAATCAAAGCAAGGCTAAGGTGAGTGTATCTTATTTTATAGAATTATATGGAAATTGGACTTGTGATAAGTCTATTTCCTATAGTTATAGTGCATGAAGTCTTGATTATAAGTATGTGAATGACATGAAATGTATGTATGCTTGATTATATGTGTTGACATGTTTTTGTATGTAATGATATGATGACAAGATATAAGATATGCGACAAGATATCTGTAATACATAAAAAGGTGATATAAGTTGTGTAATAAACCATGTGAATTGATATAAATAATTTGGAGAATAAATAGAAAGGTGGGATAAAATAAGTAGTATTTACTTATAAGGTAAAAGGAGATTATATGAACAGATAGTATTGATAGGTCACATAAGACTACATGCCAATCTTTTAATGTAATAAAAGTGTATATGTGAAATGACATGATAGGTGATAAAAATCGTGAGCCTATATGAATATGTGGTATATGTGATGTATGGGAAACATATGAGAACAAGATATGACAATGATTTACATGTCATATGAACACCAGAGAAGTGATATTTCCTATAATTATAGTACATGAAGTAATAAATTTAAATATGTGAATGACATGATTTTTATCATGTATGAATTCATGAGTAAAAACATGTGTGAATATGATTGGTATGCATTATGTCATGTGAACATAAGAGGACAGAGCATAAATTATATGATATGAGATATATGAGAAAAGGTACATGTAATATGTGAATTATATGTTTATGTGAATATGTGATATGATATGAGATTCATAAATACATGTTTATGAGATATATGTTTACACACACATATGGTATGTGACAGAAGAGAATGAACATGTGATTATAAGATCAATGATTACACGTACATTTGGTACGCGACTGAAACGAAAAGATATATGTTCATAAGAGAAAGGATATGAATAAGTAAATTGACTGTTATAAATGATAATGTCCATGGTATATGATAAGAGAGCTAGTGGTATAGTTGGCATGCCAAGAGTTGAGGGTATACTTATGTTCTACGGAACATATGGACAGAATTACCTATGTCTTTCGAGACATATGGACAGTATACCTATGTTCTACGGAACATATGGACAAAATTACCTATGTCTTTCGAGACATATGGACAGTATACCTATGTTCTAAGGAACATATGGACAGTTTACCTAGGTTCTTCGGAACCTATGGACAGTTGCCGAGGATCTTTATGACCTCTGGATAGTTACCGAGGTTCCTTGTGACCTCTGGATATGTCCTTCGGGACATTGATCGAGCTGTGGTAACAGCATATGTGTGCACAACCTCAATGTACTCACATACCTTAGGTTCTCACTAGTGTACATGGGCTAATAAAGAGATTAAACAAACATACTGAATGTGATATGTATACGATGGGTTTATAAATGGTTATCAAAGGTAAATGGTTTGAAATGTGTTACATGAACCATATGATGTTTTGTGTGTTTCTTAATGATAATGATAGAGATTATGATAATGATGGTATATGTTTATGTATGCTTTATGTTATATGAAATATTATATGTTTTATATGCCTCACTAAGTCAACGACTTAGCGTGTGATTGTTTCACACGTAGGTTTCGAGAAGAGTAAAGAGTAATGCGGAGCAAGACAGGTCAGTTCTCCTTACCAAATATCAGATCAAAAAATATATGTACTGTATATAGAGTGTAGTTGGCATGTAGTCTAAAGATATAAATTGTATGAACTCTGATATATTTTATAAACGTTTTGAATAAGTTAAATGTTATAAAAGTTTTTAAATTACTCACTATTTTATACGAATAAATGTTTGAAAAGTCAATGTGACACTTCGGACTCGTATCCGGGTCGGATACGGGTTGGGGGTGTTACATTTTCATGATCAACATCCTCACAAACAAATTCCCGTTGCAGTTCAAGCTCCAGATCTGCATCGTTGCGTTGTTTTTCACATACAACACTACGATGGGTACTATTGTACCGAGTTTAAGCTTATTCAATTTCTTGGTTACATTGGTGTTTTCTACAATCACACCGCTTGTAACCAAGTTGGTGAAACGACTAATCAAAGTGGTCAAAGAACTATTAATGGATATATGCCAAAAATTGAATTTAAACCTTGAAATGACGTTTAATGTGTTCCTTGACGCATTGCGTTAAATTTTTTAACTTATTTACTATGCAATTGAATCATAATATATTTTTTAATTAATTTATTTTATTTACAACATCAAAATTCAAAAAATTTAAACACCGATGAAGATTATAGTTAAAATATATAACATAAAATATATAAATGATATGATAAAGTGCCCAATATGATGTATATATATATGTTAAAACATTTTATGTAGTACTTATGTTTTAAAAATATCTAATATGATACGTGTATTTTAACAAAATATCTAATACAACGTTATTTGAATTATTATCATAGTATTCATGAAATTTAATTGATTGATCTAACACTTACTAACATGGATAACTAACTTTACTGGGAAAAATAGAAATATATTGACAAAGCTTTGCTATTTGCACTGTAAAATACAAGGAAATATGATATCCAATGCTCTAAGTCTCGATAAAACTATAGTGGTGAACGGACGCTTGGTGGTGGTTGGAACGCGTAGGCAAATGCAACACACTAAGGGAATTCTCTGGGTGCAACTTAGTAGGTCTAATGGCGCCCGAGTTTTCTGTTGATTATTCGCTGATTTCTTTTGTTTTCTTCTCTTTGAAGCACGTGTTTTCTTCTCATGGTTTTTTTGATTTCTTGATGGATTGGAGAAAATTATTCAAGTGTGCAGAATCTAATGATCTTGAATATTTCCCCCCAAATGTTCACGATGGTACTCTGATTGTGCTTCCTCCCTCTGAGATTCTTGATGTAGGAATTTTAGAATGGAAATTATCTCTTGTGGGTCAGTTTATTGGGGTCACATCGAGCTTTACGTCAGTACAAAGAATCATTGATGATCTCTAGAGTAAAGCCTTGCTGGGCTCGCGTGTTCAGGTTAGTACTGCTGGCAAAAATCTCTTTATCTTTTCATTTGATAATGAATCTGTCAGAGATTGGGTTGTTGATAATGGTCCTTGGTATGTACAAAACAAAACCCTAATTCTAAGAAAATAGAAACCAAACCTGTAAAGCCTCTCTTTCGATTTAACTAAGATTCATATATGGGTCCATTTATACAATGTTCCCTTAGAGCTTTTCACCCGAGTAGGACTTAGTTACATTTCTAGTGCAATTGGTTTTCCACTCTCGATGGACTCAATCACTGCATCTAAATCTAGACTTGAGTTTGTAAAGGTATGTATAGAAATAGGTGTCAATGATATCATTCCCAAATACATTGATGTTGCTCTCAAAGATGGACAGAAAACTTTGATTTATGTAGAGGTTTCATGGTTTCCTCCTTCTTGTAATAAATGTAAAGTATTTGGGCACAATGATAAAGCTTGCCAGCAAAGAATCAATTTCAATGCCAATTCTAGTCCTACTCAAGTCTGGAAAAAGAAGGAAGCTATTCCTAATCCAGTTGAAATGCATGCTGGAGGAGTTGAAGTCTTGCAAGAACCAACTTGTAATGTCTCTAAGGAAGCTGAGGCCTCTAACATTCAGGAGGGGCTAGGAGGAATTACCTTGAACCTTGCACCTAATCTTGATGGAGGAGATGATGCTTTACAAGATTCATCAAGTAAATACCCAAAGGAAACTGAATTTACAAATCTGCAGGAGGAGTCTGAAGCTACTGTAACTAAAAATCTCGAGCACTCTATCATTCTTGGTATTTTTGTGTATCTTCTACATCAGGATGCTAAAGATGTTACTGTTTCTGACCAATTTCTTTCCCAGCCTGTTGAAGCTTCAATTTCCCAACCTTCAACCTCTAAAAAGGGAAAATGTAGACCTAGTAAGGTTAATGTTAAGGGTTCTATATCAGGATCAAAAAATAGATTTGATGTGCTCAACTCTGTTGATGAAAATCCAAATTTAAAGAACCAACCAAGAAAGACTAGAGAAACTTCATTAGGAGTTGTTGGTTTAGTCAAAGAGCTAAAATTGAAAAAGAAAAATCAACTCGATAAAGCAAAAAGTCTATCCGTTGAAAGTCAAGGTGGATCCTCTGGATCACCAAGCCTATGATAATAAGTTTTTGGAATGTTAGAGGACTTAAAAGTCCTCTAAAACAAAATAAAGTGGCCCTTAGAGCCATGCAGAACAAGGTGGATGTTCTATGTCTGTTAGAGACCAGAGTCAAAATGGATAAATCTGAGGCAATTCTTAGTTCTAAATTTACCAATTGGAATATTTGTTCCAATTATGATCATGCAATAAATGGCAAAATATGGTTGCTTTGGAGGAAGGGAATTGATTTCACCATAATTCAAGTTGTTGATCAGTGTATTATTGCTAAAGGGAAGTTCCAGAATAAACTGATTTTCATCTCTGCCATATACGGCAGTAATGATGGAGTGCATCGTAGGCAGCTTTGGCATAAGATGAATGAATTTTATTCTATCGTTGATCATTCTCCTTGGGTCTTAGAGGTGATTTTAATATTTTTTTGCACTCTCAAGAAAGCTCTGACCATGAATTTTTAGGCCATTACATCACTCCTGACATGAAAGATTTTCAAGATTTCACTCAAGATCTTGCTTTGACTGATCATCCTTTCTTTGGCCCCAATATTATGTGGAGTAATAAACAACAAGACTTTTATCTTGCTAGGAAGTTCGATAGAATCATGATTAATCCTAGTTGGGCCTCTGCTTTTCAAAACTCCTTTGTTGAGTTCCTTGCTCCTGGTGTCTCTGACCATAGTATGGTTGTTATTTGGATTACTAAAGATCCTCCTGCATCTAGACCAAATCCATTTAAATTCTTTAACTTCTGAACTGCCCATCCTGATTTCTTGAGTATTGTTAGACAGTCTTGGTTCCACAATATTCCTGGTAATCCTATGACAGTCTTGTTCCTCAAGTTGAAAAGACTTAAAGTTTGTCTTAAGGGATTTAATAAAGATAACTATAGCAACCTTTCAGACCGTGTTAAACTAATGAGGCTTGAGCTGAAAAATCAACAACTTCTAACTCTTAAAGGAGAGGAAGCCATTGAGAAGGAACTTGGATTACAAGTCCAGTTGAAAACTCTTGAAGATACTGAATCTAACCTTCTCAAACAAAAGGCTAAAGTTCACTGGATTAGAGATGGTGACAAAAACACCAAATTTTTCCACTCGGTTGTAGCCTTTAAAAATAAGAGAGACACTATAAGAGTTCTTATTGATGACAACGGGAATAGGCTCGAATCTTTTGAAGCCATGTCTAACGAAGTGATTTCTTATTTCTCAAAGTTTCTTGGTACTTCTGACCCTTCGGTCAAGGATATTGACCCTGCTCTTTTCAATAACCTCCTCAACTTTTCCATGCCGGTTAATGCTCCATATTATTTTGTTAAGGAAGTTCTTGATGAGGAAATTAAAAATGCAATATTTTGCCAAGGCAACGATAAAGCCCCTAGACTGGATGGATTCACTCCCTATTTCTTTAAAATATCATGGGATATTGTGGGCAAAGAAGTTATAGAAGCTGTCAAATATTTCTTCAACAATGCTTATATTCATCCGGCTTTTAATTAAACCATTATTGCTCTTGTCCCTAAAATCCCCTATCTTAGTATTGTCAAGGACTTTCGGCCTATTTCTTGCTGCTCAGTTATCTACAAGACAATCACTAAAATTCTTGTTAATAGGATGAATGTCTATCTTCCGCAGATTATTACCTTGAATCAGACTACTTTTATCAAAGGTCGAAACATTATTGATAATTCCCTTCTTGCTCAGGAATTGGTTAAGGTATATGGTAGGAAAGTAATTTCACCTAGATGCTCCATGAAAATCGATCTTCATAAGGCTTTCAATTCATTGCATTGGGATTTCATTTCATCAATCCTTCGATCTCTTCAATTCCCAAATATTTTCATTGCTTGGATTGAAGTCTGCTTCTCACAAGCTAAGTATTCAATTTCTTTCAATGGTTCTCTCACTGGATATTTCAAAGGAGCTAGAGGGCTCAGACAGGGAGACCCTATTTCTCCTTATTTGTTCATTCTAGCAATGATCGTTCTCTCTAATATGCTCAATTTAGCTGCTACTAAAGGCATATTTGCTTACCACCCAAAGTGCAAGAAGATATGGCTTACTCATATTTTTTTCGTAGACGACCTTTTAATTTTATGTAAAGGCAATGTTGATTCAGTGGTTTGTGTCCTCAGTGTCCTTGACCATTTCTACCAAGTTTCAGGACTTAATCTTAATTCTTCCAAAAGTGAACTTTTTATTGCGGGTATTTCTTCAAGGACACTAGAGGATATTAAAATCATTTCTAGCTTCAAGATTGGGATCTTGCCTGTTAGATACCTTGGCATACCTCTTGTTACACGAAAGTCATCAATGAAAGATTGTGAACCGTTACTCGGAAAAATCAGGCAACGATTGCAGTACTAGTCTGACAGAAACCTTAGCTACGCTGGCAGGCTTGAACTAATTCGCTCTGTCCTGTTCAGTGTCTATAATTTTTGGTGTAGGCAACTCATACTTCCAGCTTCTATTCTTAAAACAGTGAATCAACTCTGTTCCAGGTTTTTCTGGAAAGAAGCTGACAAATCAGCAGTCGGTGCTAGAGTTAGTTGGGAGAACATATGTCTTTTGAAGTTCGAAGGAGGTTTGGGTCTGAAAAACACTTCTAATTGGAACAAAGCATATATCATAAACCTCATTAGAAAGATCCTTGCTGGTGATGGTTCGCTATGGTAGCATGGCTTAAATCATATGTCTTTAAGGATCATGATTTCTCGAACTTTGAAGCAGGTTCAAATGTTAGCTGGAGTTTTAGAAGAATTATTAAGTTGAGACCAATCGTTTATCCTATTGTTACGTCTACACCTCAGCCGATTAGAAAAGTCTGGGATAAGATTCGGACACAAGGCATGAAAGTTATTTGGCATAGACTGATTTGGTTTCCTATGCATATTCCAAAGCATAGTTTGATCTCTTGGATGGCCTTACTGGACAGGTTACCTACCAGAGACTGGTTACAGCGAAGGGGATTATGTTCTGAATCTATATGTGTTAATTGCTGTCAACACCAAGAATCGCGGGATTATATTTTTTCGCAATGTTCTTTTGCTACTGGACTTTGGAAAGTTGTTTTGAATCTGAATGGTATGACTTATACTGCTCTAACTTGGGAAACAATGGTCTCTCGGGCAAGCTCTACTTGGAAAGGGAAGTCTCTAATCACTACTTTACTGAAGATTTCTTGGAACGCATTCATTTACTCCATCTAGCAGGAAAGAAATCAACGTATTTTTCAGGGTCGATTTAGATCGATTGATATTTTGCTTAAAGACATAGTTGAAACTGTTAGTATTAGACTAAGGGGTAAAGATATAGATAGATATGATAATACTAATCATTATCTTTGTAATGCTTGGGGTATAGTCTAACCAGTCTTTTGTTCTTTTGTAACTAGGTTGCTTAATTTCTTTTGATGATTGGTTGATTGGTTGTAGCTACTTTGATCTTTGGGTTATAAATTGATGAATTATCAACAAAAAAAAACATGGATAACTCATGCACCATTATAACATATGAAATGATAGTTTAGGTATGACATTTATTAATAGTCATAACTTAAGTACAATAATAATATACAAATAATAGTTTGAATATAACATTTATCGATCTATTTAACCGAAATTCCATAATTATACCAAATGATATTTTAAGTACTATATTGAAATTTTGACAATATATATATATAACATTGAACATTTTAAAAGTATAAATATCATATTATACATTTTATCAAAGTAAAGGTACCAAATTATACGTTTTCTCAATAAACATGTATCGCATTTCTACTTTATTGGCATAAGTACCAAGTACATGTACCGAATGTTATATTATCTTTATTTTCTTTAAAGGGCATAATATTGTTCAAAGAGGCCTATGAACATTGAGCGTAGTTCATTCATCAAGGCCTAAATAAGTAGAAGAGAGCATTCGGGCCGGAACAAGGACCCACATGATTCCCACCAGTGATTTTTAGGATTAGTTCGTTTTTGTTCTTCTACTAAAACCCTAATTTTTATTCCTATAAATGCATAGCCACCATAGAGTTCATCATAGCAGCTGCGTTAGCATCAATGTCATCCGCCGTTTCTGATTTTCTTCTTCAGTATTAAAGATCTGACTGTTATTTGTTTTAAATTTATTTATCTTCATCGTAAAGAAGATCGCAGTGATGACCTCATAAAATTCAAGCTCAACAGACCGGAATGCAGCCTTCTCTTTTTGAGAATTTTGCGTGTCGATAACCCCGCTGAACTGAGTGATCTTTTTTTTCCATCTTTCTCTTTTTCTTCAAAAAATATTTTAAGAAACTTTTTTTTCTTGAAAATTTGAAAATTTTGAGGTTTCGATGAGGAGTTATAGCTCCCTCTTCCGACTAATGTTGAAGAAATCAGCTGGCAGAATCGAACCTATAACTCTATCTCCACCACTGAGTAACCTCTTTATTTTCACCGATGTTTTAGAAATCTGAAGAGATTTGATTTTCATGTTTTTCGAGTTTAATCTTTCTAGTGGATGATGATGAAGCAAAAAATTACACATAATCCAACACTTGATCTGAGATATTTCGTTATCGAGTGATGTTAAATCATTGCTTCTGAATCTGCTGCGAATTATAGTTTTTAGTGTTTCAATTGTTAAATTTTCACGGTTTTGGTTTTCAACTTCAAATAAAAATTCAGGCGTGTAGAATCATCAAATGATGAATTTGGAAAATAAATCTTAGGACACCTTCCTACATAGCTTAAAAAGCTATGGATGAGAAGATTATTTCCTTTCTGATGATGATGTTAAGTTTTAGTATATAAATTATCTTTTTCTCTTGTGTTAATTGAGAATTTGTTGAATCAAATTTAAGTAAAATGAAATTAAAATATGGATGAATTCTGACACAACGATGATCTAATCCAAGGAAGTTTTTTCCCATTTGATGATTCAAAGGCAAATGCATACGGTAGAAACATAAGAATCAGAAGGCTTGTCATGTCAAATAATCTGAAATCAACTCAATAAACTCCCATTGTGATAAATTGCACAACCAGCAAAAAATTAAGGATTAATTACATTTTAGGTCAGTTAATTAAAATGAAATTCATATATGATTTTGTGTAATAATTATGAATGATTGGAGTGCAGTAACCAAAAAAAGAGAGTATAATATACAATCAACAAATGTTGGTTTTATCAATGATGTTCCGTCACAATCTAACGCCACTTCTGTGTTTCTGCTGCGTTTCGCCATGGATCTTTGCTGAATTTGCCCTGATTAAGAACTCAATGAAAGCAGTTAGGTTTTTCTGTCAGACCTAATTTGGATCATTGAAGCTTTCGAGCATGAAATTTTGATATTCATCTATTATTATGCAAAAGTGAAGCAGTATTAGCTTGATTATGCTGAAGGGGGTTACCCTTACCTTGATAAATAAACGCATGAACATTTGCCATTTGCTACAACGAAACTGCAAATTAAACAAATAGGATAGAAGGAACATGCTGGACTTTGTAAAAGTCTTCACCTCGAACCCTATCCACGAATGCTTTCGGCATCCCTTCAATATCCAACTCACGGAGAGCACTAAGTGATTCTGTTCCTTCAGGAAGCATCTTCAAGTTCCCACAGTTGATTATCCGCAAAATTCTAAGCCTTACCACTGCGCCTTTTTCAAGATTGAACCCTTCCAATGATTCCAGGGAGTGAAACTCCAGGAACTCAAGTTGGTGAAAGCCATTCACTGATATCGCCATTTCTTTTCCATCATAGGAGCGAGCTTTCAGTCTCATAATCAGTAATCGTGGCAAATTCTCAAGTATCCTCACTGAATCTTGCTTGAGATGAGTGTGCTGTAATGTCAACTGAGTCAGATTTGGTGGGAATTCATGTGAGTCAGGTAACCGACTTATTCTTCCTTCTAGACGCAACTTGACTAGTTTTTGATGATCGGAAAGTTGAGTGAGTGACGGAAAATCAGCATCTTCAGTACGCAGGTACAGGGACTGAAGTTGCTCAAGTGCTAAAATGGAGTTGAATATTTCATTAGTTTTGAAGCTGAAGTTTCCTCTGATACCCAATTTCCGCAGGCTGGTTAACTTTGCCGGGTTATTTTGCATCCATTTTTCTACATTCATTTCTGATAGAACTTGGAGATGCTGCAGTGTGTCGATTCGCAGCTGCCCTCCGAATTTATGACCGCACATATAAAGATGTCGTAACTTTATCAGCTTCCATATTACATTTGGAATTATTGTTAGATGAGCATTTTCTGCTACATCAAGTGTCTGCAGTTTTCGCAAAGAACTTATGGCGGGTGAAAGCTCCTGTAAGTTGGTCTTCTTCAACCCCATGTACTTCAAATGAGTTAGTGCTCCAATTATGCTTGAGACCTTAGTACACGGTATACCCTCCAACTCAAGGATTCTTAGCAATCTGAAGCTTTTGCCAATATAGTCTAGATCACTGCTTTCCATTTTGTAAGGATCGTTGATATAATAATTAGCCTGGCTTTGGTTCTGATCAACTCTGAAGAATAGGAGTGACCGAAGGTGGGGATTTGAGTACTTGCATTGGGGCCACTGAAAGGTTGAGTAGACAGCATGACGACGAGATTTTCCCGAAGGGTGGAGACTTTGATGCCCTTGAATCTCATAAAAGCTCTCTTCTTTGGCCTTTGAGATGGACAGGTCTCGGAGCAGATCATGAAGACGACATTGTTTAACTCGATCGTTAATGCTCCACTTGGCTACTTGAACCATGTTTCTCTCAATCAGCTCAGTCAAGTAATCCTCTGCTACGTCCTCCATCCTTTCGCCTTGCTGCGTAATCAAACCCTCTGCAATCCACAGCCTGAATAATTTGTGTGAGGGGATCAAGCGGTCCTCTGGGAATTGGCCTAGATGGAGGAAGCAAGATTTGAGGTAATATGGCAAATCATTATAACTCAAAGCTAATATTGCCGACACCCCATCTGCATCTCTTGCAAAGTGTGAGCTCATGTTGGAAAGAACCCTTTTCCATTCCCCTAGATTTCTTTTCATTGAAAGCAATCCTCCTACAATAATGATGGCAAGTGGCAATCCAGCACATTTCGCCACTATTTCTTTCCCCGTTTCCTCCAACTGCGGTGAACCATATGAGTCGTTGTTATGAATGAAGGCTTTCTTGCAGAACAATATCCAGCCATCTTCTTCACCAAGGAAACGCAAATCATAGGGAACACTTTGAGGGTCTGCTTTCAAAGCAATACCATTGTTGCGAGTTGTTAGCATCACCCTGCTTCCGTTGTTTCTGTCCGGAAAAGCCCTTGCAATTGATTTCCAGGCTTCGATACTCCATACATCGTCCAAGACTACCAAATACCGCTGCCTTCTTAGGTGTTCATAGAGAATTGCTTCAAGTTCTTCTTCATCCAAAGATTCCAATTTTCTTCTTGCTGATCCCACTTGCTTTATGATTGCCTCAAGTAAGTCTTTAGTACTGAAGTCCTGCGAAACATAAACCCAAGCTCGAGAAGGGAAACGAGCCTGGATATTACCATGATTGTAAACCTTTTTGGCCAGAGTTGTCTTTCCGATGCCCCCCATACCGACTATCGAAACCGCATGCCATTGGTCATCAGTTCGGACAAGTTGTGTCACAAGCTTAGCTATATCATCGTCGAGGCCTACAATATCCTTTTCTTCACCGCGTGGAGATGATCTTCTCAGCTTCCGAAGCCTCTCCCTTGCTGTACTGATTCCCTCCCCAATGTTTCTGATACCGTAGGTTTCACGGCTGATGGATATATTAACGATTCTTTCTTGGATGTAAAGGAGCTCATCAGCGATCTTAGAGCGATGATTCCATTCTTTAAAAAAAGAAGCATACCTTTTGAAGAACTTGTTTCTCTTGAGGGAGTCCATTTTGAGGACGAACCTGTCGATGAGATCCTCGGCATCGTAAGCAACATTTCTGATATCAGACACCCAATTGCGCACTCTCTCATCATCACCTTGCTTTGCATCTGCATCCTTTAAGAAACATCTCATCCGGACCAGTTCCTCTTGTAGACGCTCCACTTGTTTCCGAACATCCGTGTGAAAATCAATTTCTTGCAGTATGTCAGCTAGCCTCTCTGCAACAAAGGAAACGGCAGCTTCCGCCATGATAATTGGCCAGAGAAATAGTGGTTGGAAGAGGGATACAATGAAAAAACTTAGCATACAATAATTTCTTTACACTGAGAACCAGTTCTGTGATGTACCGATGCTTATTTCTTGAAGATCAAAGTCAGTAAACAACAAAGAAGTCTCCTTTTTTGGGTCCACGCGTAAAAAGAACTTTATCATTTGCATTATTTTCTTCGTAATTAATACGCTTTCATGTTATTGCTTTGCCGAAATTTCCAGTCATCAACGGTGGACGTGGGGTCAAATGGATTAACCGACAAGACCTGTGCCTTGATGAAAAACAAAGTTATCTTTTGCCTTGTAATTGTCCTCTTGGCTTTCATACTTGCTGAATTTATTTTCCTTTATTAGCTAATAAAATTTATAGGTTTTCATATTATTGAGCTTCATCTCATAGCTCTTCATTTCTGCAAGTGCCAGTCATGGGAATTTCTTCCTTTCCAACGCTGGTGTTAGCGCATTTCTTCTTCTTGTTTATAGCACATGTTCATTCGTTAGATTTTAATGAGTCATCTGCTCTTCTGGCCTTGAAAACCTACATCAGTCCTCCTGAATCTCAAAATGTATTGGCAAACAACTGGACTACCGCTACTTCAGTTTGCAACTGGACTGGTGTCATTTGTGGCGGCCAACCTCGGCGGGTAACAGCCTTGAACCTTTCTTCCATGGGTCTAAACGGCACCCTCCCACCAATTGGTAAACTATTTTCTCTTTTCTTAATGATTTAGTTCAGTTTTGTACCCTGAAAACTTGGAAACTATTCTGTAGGTACAATTCAATCAGCTTTAGGCAGCTTAACTTCATTGAAGAAGATCGACTTGAGCAACAATAAACTCTCAGGTTCCATTGGTTCTACCATTTTTAATTTGTCTTCGCTCCAAATAATTGATCTTAGCTTCAATAGGCTAGAAGGCAATCTCCCAACAGTCATTTTCAACCGTCTTCCAGACTTGAAGGAGCTTTATCTCTCATGGAATCAACTTTATGGACAGATCCCAGGCAGTTTATTCAACTGCAGACAGTTGGAAGTATTATCTCTGTCTTCTAACAATTTCATTGGAAACATACCGATAAATCTTGGGAACTTGACCACTCTCAGTCACTTGGATCTTAGCAGTAACAACTTGGAAGGTATGGCTGATGCTAGCTCTATTTGAATCGGACCATTTTAGTAAAGCTCTCAACGATGGAAACATGTTCTTTTTGTCTTAATTAACTTGTCTGGAAAGTTGATAAGCTTCGATCTTCAGGATTTCATCTACTAGGACTTTCCTTTTAGCCATAGAACTATTAGTTGTACATTTACTATTAGCAGGTTCTTAAAATTGATCATAAAAAATATGTTTTTTTTCAACGTAAGTCACATTCCAAGCAGTATTGGTAACTGCACATCGCTCAAGGCAATAAACTTCAGTGAAAACAACTTAGAAGGTATAATATAATGGTACTTATCTAGGTCAGGTTTATCTTGTGTCCCAAAACAGAGCGTCATCTTGAAATGGTTTAACTGCAACATCTGTTCTTCTACTAGTTCATCAAATGGATCCTGACACAAAAACATTGCCTGTTTATGGCAGGTGCATTACCATCAGAGATTGGTCTTTTCCTTCCAAATCTTCTTGAGCTTCAACTTCGGGGAAATGAACTTCAGGGAACCATCCCTAGTTCCATCTCTAATGCATCTAAGCTCACTCTGTTGGATTTGGCTGATAACTCATTTACAGGCCATATTCCTACAACAATCGGCTATCTGAAAAATCTCCAAAAACTTGATCTTGGCCATAATCAGTTATCAAGTGAATCCTACACTCCAGGGTCAAGCTTTATACATTCATTGACAAATAACAGGCAGTTGAGAAAGATAGTGTTATCAGGCAATCCTCTAGATACTGTGCTCCCTATGTCCATTGGAAATCTCTCCACCTCTCTTGAATATCTTGAGTTAACAGATTGCAGACTGAAGGGAAGCATTCCAACTGAAGTTGGCAGCTTAAGCAGTTTGATTTCCTTAAAGCTGGGAAACAATGCATTGACAGGTGTTATTTCATATACAATTGGACGTCTGAAAAACCTGCAAAGTTTGCAACTTCAAGGTAATAAATTACGAGGATTCATTCCTTATGATCTTTGTACGTTGAGAAATTTGTTTGAATTGTTTTTAGGTGGTAATGAGCTCTCTGGAGCCATACCAGGATGCCTAAGTAATCTCACTGCTCTAAGGAACCTCAGCTTAAGCTCTAATAGGTTGACTTCCACAATACCGTCCAGCTTGTGGAGCCTTGTGAATATACTGGCCATAAATCTCTCATCAAATTCTTTACAGGGTTCTCTCTCACCAGGAATCAGTAATTTGAAAGCTCTGATCGAAATCGACTTGTCAAATAATCATTTGTCAGGGCACATACCTTACAATATTGGGGACCTGAAAAATCTAGCTTACGTCTCTTTGGCAGTAAATAGATTACAAGGTTCCATTTCAGAACGCCTTAGTTTGTCTGTAGCCTTGGTATTCTTGGATCTCTCTCATAACAACTTGTCCGGAGCAATTCCGGAGTCTTTGGGAAATCTCCGTTACCTTATATATTTGAATGTGTCTTTTAATGAACTCGAAGGGGAGATACCCAGTGCTGGATCCTTTGCTAACTTCACAGCTCAATCATATATGATGAACAAAGCACTTTGTGGTGCAGCACGATTGCAAGTTCGGAGTTGCCGGACTAGTAAAATACCATGGAAAACTATTTTGTTTTTTGGTATGCTTCCATTGATTGCCTATGCATCAATTTATATCCTAGCACAATACAGGATGATAAAACACCGCATGGAAAAGAAAAAGGAACAACTCTTAACAACTAATAGAACGATTCTGTACCAAGAAATCGTGCTAGCAACAGATGGATTTAGGGAAAGTAACCTACTCGGAACAGGAAGTTATGGATCTGTTTACAAGGGAACAATGAAAGAAGAGAAGAATGTTGCCATAAAGGTTTTCGATTTGAATCTAGAAAGGGGATCGAGGAGTTTTCAGGTGGAATCTAAATTACTGACTGAAGTTTGTCATCCTAATCTTGTCAAACTCATGAACACTTGTTGTGATGATGATTTCAGAGCCTTGGTGTTAGAATACATGCCCAATGGTACCCTAGACAAGTGGCTTTACACTCATAATTATTTTTTGAATCTCTTGCAAAGACTTGATATAATGATAGAAGTTGCATCAGCTATGAGCTACCTTCATTCAAAACACATCATTCACTGTGATTTGAAACCTAGCAATGTCCTGCTAGATGAAGACATGGTTGCTCGTGTAAGCGATTTCAGCATTGCCAAACTTATAGATGCTGCAGTGCAAACAAGGACCATGGCCACTATTGGGTACATGGCACCAGGTACTAATGTTTGTACTTTTTTCATTTTGATTCATGTGCATAATTCCTCTGCGGTTGTTATTTTGTAAGTGAATTGTTATTGATGCAATTACTTGACTGTAGAGCACGGATCGAGTGGAATTGTATCTGAAAAAATAGATGTCTACAGCTTTGGTATTCTACTGATGGAAACATTCACTGGAAAGAAGCCCACAGATGATATATTCAACGGAGAAATGAATTTGAGGCGCTGGGTGCACGAGTCATTACCTCATGCAGTGGACACAATCATTGATGTCACTTTGCTGCAAAGTGATCAAGAAGTAGCAACTAAAACAAGATGCATAAAATTGATCCTGGAAGTTGCTTGGTTTTGTACTGCAGAGTCATTTTCTGATAGGAAGACTATGACAGAAGTCGAGTATGAGCTCCGTAAGATTAAAACACATTTTCTAATAGACACTCAATTGATTGAATGTGACGATATGGTCAGATCATGTTCTCTAAGAGACCCTGAATTGACAGAATGTGAAGAATTGGGAACCGATTCTAGGATTTCGCTTCAAGAGCTTAAGTTAGCAACCGATGGATTTAGTGAAAGAAACCTGCTTGTCTTGGGGAAATCTAGTTTTGTCTACATAGGGCGGATACAGGACATGCGCCTTGTTGCGGTAAAGATTTTTAACCTACAGAGAGGAGGGTTAGAGAAGTTTAAGGTTCATTTTCGAGCACTCTCATCTATTCGTCATCGGAATGTTGTCAAAATTCTGAAATATTGCAGTGACGTTAATTTCAAAGCCTTGGTGGTGGAGTACATGCCCAACGGGTCTCTCCAAAGCTATCTACGCTCTGGCAAGAGTACTTTGACTTTGAGCTTTCAGCAAAGGGTTGATATAATGATTAACGTGGCATCTGGTTTATGTTATCTTCATTCTATGCATGTCATTCACTGCAATTTAAACCCCATGAATGTCTTGCTAGATAAGGATATGGTAAGTAATGTATGCCCCCTATTTCCTTACATAATTGATTTGACTTGTGAATATGTGATGCTGATAAATTTTTTTGGTTCGGGACGTGATAGGTTGCTCGTATAAGTGGCTTCAGCTTTGCCAAATGCTTAGAAGAAGGGTTTGCTGCAGTTAAAACCTCTAGAATGGCGGCTGCTCCCGGATATATGACACCAGGTGATCGTGTTTCTTGTGTTATTAAATGAGTTTTAAAATAGTTTGTCAAAATATAAAGAAGAATTAATACATATCTTCTATGCAGAGTATGAATCAACCAGAACTGTTTCCGAAAAAACTGATGTATATAGCTTTGGTATTCTACTAATGGAAACGTTTACCGTTATAAGACCGGCGGAAGAAATGAACTGGAGGAGCCGGATTTGCAATTCCTTACAATCTATAGACAAAGTTGCAGAACTCAGTTTTCTGCAGACTGATCCGGAAGACTCCGTTGCCTCTGTAGCACGTATAAGCGGATGTTTACGTTTGATCCTGACATTGGTTTATTGTTGCACAAAAGAGTTACCTGATGAGAGAAGGACTATGACACAAGTTGAAACAGAGCTTGCGTGGTTAAAGAAAACAGTTGACAGAATTTGAAACAGAGCATGGGATGTTGGAGAAACAGCTTTTTGAGTATATTTATGGAAACATTTACCGCAATAAGGTCCAAGGAAAAAAATGAATTTGAGGAGGTGGTTTGAGAAAGACTGACAGAAATTGAATCAGAACTCAATGAGGGTGATACGGTTGTGACTATGGTTGATGGAAATGAGCCTTGACCATGAGAGTCATTTGCGAACCAGTTGAGTCACTTTGTCTTACTGAAATTTGCAATTAAACAAGCCCCTTCAGCCGTTGCTGGGCGCGGGATTTGTTTTTAGGGGTATAAATAGAACATAACGTTGGATGAATCGTAGGTGGATAGTTCGTATAACATTTGTTTATTAAGTTAAATTAATAAATATGAACAAAATTTTTATGCTCGTTTAATATAGACAATAGGAATAGAAGTGTCTTTGTTTTGTTTATATTCACAAACAAACTTATTTATTGATTCATTTGTAAAATCGTTTATAAGCTCGTTTATCAAATTCTCCTATTCTTTTTTCTTTTACATTTTAAATATTGATACAAATAGAGATTAAATTGAATATAAGGTGAATTTTAGGATTCAAATTGTAAAGTTTAAGGACTAGTGGTGTAATTTCATCATTCTACTTCGACGTGCAAATGGAAGGGTAAAAAGAGTGTTGGGGGCAGAACATTAAATGTCGTGAACGTGAATTGTAAAACAAATCGAACACGAACGACTTCCAAAAAATAAACGAACACAAATATCTTATTAAAAATTTTAACAAACAATGACCGAACATGAATATATTTAAAAATAAATAATTAAATACAAACACAATCTTAATCGATTAAACCCGATTCATTTACTTCCTATGTCTGTTATTGGTGATGCAACACCAATGGCAGGTTTAAAGCTACGCATGCGTACAGCGTATAGTTATTTTGGGTCATGAAGGGTCGGATCAAGAGAGCAAGGTCTGTAGCAAGATATGGAAATCAAAATCCTTTGCTCATCCGAACTGAAGCAATCAGGTTATAGAGTAACCTGCAGGTAACGCCTGATATAGTGTCCGGTGTCCCACTCATTTTCGATACTGCATTAGCAATTAATGTTAGAATTTAACCAATCAGCTAAAGGCATAGTTGATTCTTTTGTCTTGTTGACTTGTTACTAATTTCTTTCATTTTGTCTTTTGGTACAAGCAACACATCTTTATGTTTCAAAGAACAAAATTTGGTCTAAAAATCTGAATGATACATTTAAAAAAGTTAAAATTGAATGTCATGGGGAGTTCTGTTGCATTGTTTTACTTGTATACTTTGCCGCTAACAGAAGAGGAAGCATATGCCTACAATGGACAAACAAGAATCTCAAGAAGAAAAAAAAGTTAATGCTGCTGTATGTTAAATACTTTACATGTTCTTAGTACGTACAATGAACAGATAAGAAAGATGAGACATTTAATTCACCAATAACTGTTACCCAAGTGGCAAATGCCCCAATTGAAACATAGTCAACCCCATGTTTCTCTCCAGCTCTGTTCCTTTGGTCGCAATTGTCAAGCCTTTTCTTCTCTTAGGAGAAGAAGTATTGTACAGAGAAGGCGCATGCTCCCGACGCTTAGCCGTGGCTCTAACCGGCGGTGGCCCATTGTTGCCGATCCTAAGCCGGAAATTAAGCAAAGCCCTGGAGCCACACATTTCAAAAGAAGCTCGATCGTAAGCCAAAGCCGCTTCCTCCGCCGTCTCGTAAGTGCCAAGCCAAACTCGCACCATTCTTGGCCGAGTCTCTTATCTCCGCCGCGAATTTGTCCCACGGCCTTTGCCGAACTCCCCTGTAATGTCTCCCCTTGACCACCTTTTGATTCCCATTTCGAAAGCACTCTGTTCCGTTTTCACTTCGTATTCCCATGAAAGTACTTCCAAATAACATTGGAGTCGACCCTATTGTGTTCACTTGGGTAACCGGCGTCATCACCTCTTCAGGCTCGTCTTTAATGGCTGCCGGCACCGTTGAGCTTAACGGAGACCAACCGAAATTGAGAGCTTCGTGAAGGGAGTTGTAGATGAGCATGTCCTCGGAGTCATCGACTTTCAAGGGCAAATCACCCCAGTGTTCCGTCAGACAAGAGCTGAGACATGTAAAGCTCGATGTTCGAGGACATTGGTGAGAAAAGCTGAATTCACAGAGACTAATCTCTTTCATCATATGCAACTTATGTTTTGAAGCTTGGCTTTGATCAAATGTCCCTAAAGCAATGAAAAACGAAATATGAGTAGGAAGAAATTAAACTAATGAAGGGCTGGATTAAGATATATATATATATATATATATATATATATAGAGAGAGAGAGAGAGAGAGAGAGAGAGACTATTGGTAACGAGTGAAAAAAAAAAGTAAAAGGAAACTGAAAAACGCGTCAGGAAGAAGTATCACTTATTAATTGGGATTTTTTTATTAAATTAAATAATTGTTTTATATCAATATAATATTCAATTTAGATTAGTGAAATTTTTTATTGAATAGATTGAATATATAATTTTTTTAATTAAATTGAATACAACAACAATAAAATCCTATTTTCATATGCAATGGGGTAAGGGGAGGTATGGTAGTAGGCTGCCCCTAATGTCAAGTTGAGAGCAGCTTCCGTGGAAGACCTCCGTCAGTTAGAAAATTAAAAACAAAGATAAAATGCAATGTATGTACAAATAAATAAATACATAGTTGAACAGTATTCATATGCAGTCTGTAATGGGAAGTAATCCCTGCAAATACTCTATGCGTAAAAATCTCTGCATATAGAAAGAAACGTAAGACCCGACTAAAATTAAAAGAGGAAACATGAAGATAATGATACACAGAAGTCAACGATAGCAAGCTACGAGAAGGAATAAAGTCAAATGGGTTAAAACCTAAACTAATGCAACACTACTCCGCGACCCTAGTTCTAAGCCTTCATAAATTCCAATGACAAACGTATAAAAAATAGAAGTCTTGGGAATTACTACAAAGGCATTAAAAGAAAACAGAGATGATACACCCTATGGATCTGACCCTCACTACTCGGGTACCCTGGTCTTAAGTCTCTATACTTTCCTATCAGAGGTCATGTCCTCGGTAAGGGCTAAATCATTCAAATCAGATCTCAAGCAGTCTTTCCACTTCCGCCTTCGCGTCCTCTCCTTCTGGCACCGTCGACTGTAATCGACTCTACCCTCCTGACCACATTCCGACGTTTGTCGCCTAAGGACATGCCCAAACCACCGTAGTCTTCCCTCCCTCAATTTTTCGGATACAGACACCACCCCCAAGGACATCCTAATAGCAGAGTTTGGTGTCATGTCTCACAGAGTCCTATCACATGCCCATCGAAGCATTCTTATTTTTGCGGCCTCCATCCTCCTTACGTGATCCTTCTTGATTACCCAACATTCTGATCCATACAGCAGCGCTGGTCTTATTGTCATTCTATAAAATTTTCCCTTAAGTTTTAGAGGCACCTTCTTGTCACACAAAACTCCAGTAGCAGCCCTCCACTTTAGCCATCCCGCCTTTATACGGTGTGTAACGTCATCATCCACACCCCCATCTTTATGTATCATGGACCCTAGGTACTTGAAATAATCCTTTGAGGGGAGAACGTGTCCTTCTATGCATACTTCTACATCTTCATCGTTTTGGTTCCCACTGAAGTTTGAACATAAATACTATGTCTTTTCAATATTGATCCTGAAACCTTTTTCTTCCAAAGCAGTCTTCCAGGTAGCCATTCTACTATTCAGCTCAGTTTTTGTTTCAGCAACTAGGACAATGTCGTCAGCGAAAAGCATACACCATGGAACACCGTCTGGTGTCGCACAATAGATGTCGTCCATAATCAAAACGAAGATGTATGGGCTAAGAACTGACCCCTGGTGGAGTCCGATTTCCACCGGGAATGTCTCGGTGTCGTCAATTGTAGTCCTGACATATGTAGTAAATCTACAGTACATATCACGAATCGTCCGGATATAAGCAATTGGGACCCTTGGGATGAATCAGCAATAAAAGCGTTGCTTTGTATCTGGTCATTTTACATACAAATCCATGATGGAGGTGTCCAAATAGAAGTGACAAGAACCTTTACAAGAGTTAGTTGCCAGTTGAGCCCTCTGAGAAACCTAGTTGCAAAGTGTTTCTGTCTCCAGATTTGTCGCCATTGTTCACTCCCCCTTTACAATAACCTGGAAGGTCCCAGGCACAAACCTAGTACCAACTTGGAACTTGGCTTTGGTCCCCTTTCTTCTTTATTAATTACCCTTCGGATAAGACCATCCACTTTCCTCACCACAACTTGGGTTGGGTGTGCACAAATATCCTCTCTCCAAACACTGTCGACAAAACCAAAACAATAAATTTCAGGTGAGTCCAACTCTGGTAAGAAACCACGAAATAAAAGGTTATCGATTCCGAACGAATCAACTTATTTAAGTGATTAAAATAATCATTGTTGTTTTTAAAGATCACGGGTTCGAGCACTAATGGCTATAAGAGTGATTGAATGTTTATTGTCAAAAAATTGAGAGCACTTATAACATATATTACTTTATAATCACCTTTAACTTAATTAAAAAAATTTATCAATTTCAAGGGTTAGTACATAAAATAATAAATATTTTTATAATCTGATTTTATTCCTTGTGTTATGTTTTAAAAGTATAAGATAGAATTATCTTTTTTTATTTTTAATTGTATTTTTAAATATTTGAATTTATATATTTAAATATAAAATGAATATGTTCTACATAATAGATTTCATTAATTAATATCTATTTTGTTGAATGTACTGATTATAATATGATTCACCTTCACATCTAAAATACACTTAGAAGTAGATATGTTGCCAACCATCTCTAAAGTATATGGTTAAAAATTCTTAATTGACACTTCTATTTTCACTTATGTTATGAGTTCAATACTTATTAGGAACGGAAAAAAATAACTCAATATAACTCTTTAATCAACGAAAATCATCGTTGAATTCATTTGGTTAAAAGATCATATTAAAATTTTCTCTCCTTAATTTAAGGGTCATATCAAGTATAAAATAAATGTAGTGATTACATTATTTTTAAAAAATAAAACTTAAAATACTATTAAACTAATTTTTAAAATACATTAATGTTTGAATTCAAACAAATTCAAATTATATTATTAAAATCATTATCTAGTTTATTTGGTTAAAGGATCAAATTAAATATTTCTCCCCTCAATTTAAGGGTCATATTAAGTATAAAATAAGTCTAGTGAATAAATTTTTAAAAAATAAAACTTAAAATACTATTGAACTAATTTTTAAAATTATTCAAATACATTTTAAAAATTCAAACAAATTCAAATTATATTCATAAAATAAAATCTATTAAACTAAATAGATAAAAAAAAGTTTGACATCTGCTTACTATCGACAATAAATCTGAAAAAATATATAAAAATATTAAATTTAGATATTTATACGATGTCAAGTTGTGGCAAATTTGTTTTCAAATTAAATTCCTATATAAATATAGTAGCTTGCTCCCTCGCTTCCATTCAGCACAATGACCACTTTTGAAGAATCAACGACTCTCGATTTCATTCAGCACAATCTTCTGGCCGACTTCGCTTCGGCCGATGCTTTCATCGCCAGCCTTGATTTTGGCCTCTCCCACCTACAAAATTACCAGTTTCCCGAACTATATCAACTTCTCTCCCCCAAACCCGACCCGAATCACCAACTCCACGAAATATTCAGCTATGACATAAAGCCCGAGGCTGTTGACATGGATACTCCGACTTCCTTCATTTCGGAGTCAAAAATGGAGTCCAAGGTATCACTTTCTGAAGAGAGAAGGCATTACAGAGGGGTACGGAGAAGGCCGTGGGGCAAGTTTGTAGCGCAGATCCGAGACCCGGACCGGAAAGGACGTCGGGTCTGACTAGGTACTTTTGATTGTGATCTCGATGCTGCCAAGGCTTATGATCGTGCAGCATTTAAGATGAGGGGTCACAAAGCAATACTGAATTTCCCGCTAGAAGCCAGCCCGCCGGCGAGTACGGGTAGGAAAAGGGGAAAAGAGAAGAGAATTCAGTCGCCGGGAAGTGACGTCATGTCTCGGGTAAGTGGCGAGGTGGCTTTGGAGATGAAGGAAGGAGATGTTAAGCCTGCTTGATGATTAGCCGTCAGTGTTAAACTAGTGAACATGATAGATAATGTGAATAGGGATAATTAGTGGTTGAATTAATGCACCATAAAAAAATGTAAAATACTCGTTGCTTGAAAGTTAGAATTTGATTGGTGATCATTTGTCAAAAAAGAAAAAAAGAGAATTTGATTAGTGAACACCATGAGTGAAAATTCAAAAGAAAATATTAAATTACGTGTTGTATTTCTTTAATTCCCCGCCCCCTTTTAGAATGTAGGATGTACGGAAATTTGTTGGTTTGTTCTCAACGATATAATTTCGAAATGATTTGATTTTGGAATTCCTTATTTCATTATGTTAATTTATATATGTGCTAAATCTTTTAGATAATTATGTGGGAAAAAATTTATAAAAAATATATGTTTGAAATTAATCTTTTGAATAGGATGTTTGTTATAGTGGAATCCGGAGTGTCGCATGAAATACCATGCATCTTTACCCTTGAACGTGGAGTCTAGTGCATCTTCACCGTGCTACCTCTAGTTGTTTATCTCATTCAAGATTGAAAACTGGTTATAACTGTTGTTCCGAATTTAGTGGAAATGTGGACCAATGCTTTTGGCTTCACGCCGGTAGAGGATGACGAAAGAAAATTGCTAACAAAGATTAACTTGATGGTGTTTCCTGGAACTATATTGTTTTTCAAGGTATAAAGACGTACTGGGCTCTTCGTGTTCAAGAGTGAAGACAATTGGTGTTCCATAGACACATCATGGTTGCCGTGCTCTCAATGAAATTTCCAATTAGAAAGTGACAGAATTGAGGCAACAAGTTGCAGGAAATGAGGGGGGACCCCCTAATGAATGCAGTTGCCTGAGTTTTGTCCGCTTGTAACCAGTTGTAAATGATAGAGATGCATCACAACTTGCTCCAAACCAACTTGTAAACACACAAAAACTTTACTTTTTTTTTCTTTTCTGTAGCAAAAGAGATATATGTATCACTATCATAACCGTCATCCACCCTTCATTCATATGATCTCATCAATTTTAACGTCTAATAATTGATGTCTCTTTTCCAAATTCGCAAGCTACCCCAACTTTTTATATGATTCAAGCCCACATTAAGGATTTGCAATGTATTTCATTTCGGATCTAATATCGACAGACAACCACTTTCATAAAACACTATTTACTTAAAGATGAAAGGTAAAGTACATCTACCATGAAGGTCATAAATCCAAATCTCAAAATCCCTATAAAGACTAAGGTTGTATTCATAAAGAAAAGTTCAAATTATACTTTATTTAGGCTTATTATGTCTATTAGAAAGAGTAGAGAACGATCAAAAGCATCAAATTAGATGAAGCAAAACCCAATACCTTCAACACCGCTCGAGTACTATCCTCCTAAAGATTTGTTCAAAGAAGAAAAACCTATATAAAAAGAATGTTGATTGAAGGCTGAATCTTTCTTCTTAGACTTGCTCAAAATCGAAGGCGTGAAAAACCTTGATGCATTACATACCCACACAAAGAAATTCAAAAACAAAAAACTCAACTTTACAACAGCAAAAGCCGTAACTTTCAGGGTTTCATCGAGTATTAAAGCCCTAGCCATTGATAAAGAACTTTTTCTTTAACAATCTGTGTACACAAGGAAAAAGAAAGAAAGAAAGACGAAGATGATGGGAAAGTAGGAAAGAAGTTTGAGATGGAAAGACGAGGAATATTAGGAGGCAAGACACGATGAAATGAAACAAAAATACTTAAATACATAAAAGGGTAATATGATAATTATATTGTGTTAGGTCAAATTTTAGTTTTAATCTAAATTTATTTCGGTCTTGACTCTTGCTTTATCAAAACCTCTTTAAAATTTAGAGAACATTAGAAGATTCATTCATAAACTTGATAAAAAAAACTTTGTAACATAGTTTTAAGAAATATTCTAGATGATAAATATATTCATCAACGAGAATATGATACCAAATAAAATAATTTAGAGGTGACTTATTTTCCTTATTTATATAAATTGTGATAGATGAACTTTGACAAATCAAAACATTTACTCTTAAACGTAGCTCATGTTGAAAGTCAAACTAGATTGTCGGCAAAGCTTGGAAATTTATCACATTGAGAAGCCCCATCACGAAAGCAACAAGACGATTTGGCAGCTTGTAAATTAAATACTTAATTGCTAAGGAGATAAGGTGGCGATGAGATGGCAGTAAGTCAGCAAAACTAGTGGCACAAAGTTGCAAAGTAAATCACGGCAAAACAAGTGAAAATTTTCACCAAGGCAAACAAGAATTTTCGGCAAGAAAGTGGCAGCTTCAATTAGTCGATTTACTAGCATTATATATATGTGTGTGTTTAGTTTAGATTGTTAATATGTGTAAGTGAGCGAAAGTGAGAAGAAAAAATACGAGTGAAAATATTAGAGAGTTAGAGAGTGAAGCTTAGCAAAGTTTTGAAAAGCGAGGTTACATTTATAAATTAACTGAAGTTAATATTGTATTTGTATTTTGGTTCATATTAATAATAATATAAGTTATAAACCAAGAGGTCACCTATACTTCCAACAACTCATATGGCTAAAAATAAATATACCGTATGAAGGCACATGCTCCATGCTATGAAAAGCATGGAATTCCGACACAAATGAGCACATGATGATAGTAAGCACCTAGTTGACACCAACACAATAACCGGTAAAAAAGCATGAAAGTATTAGTATAACGAATACTTATGACATTTATCATAAGTTTGGTATTATAATTTCCAAACTTGTCACTAAACCTCTTAATTTTTTTTGAAAATTTCAGTTAAACCCTTTTTGTTGGAAAATTCTCTTTAACCATATAAACTAGGCCTCCAAAAATCCATCGCAATACATACCATTCCTCAAAACTTAGAGTTGACTTGAGACTTCATGGGGGTTCTGAAGCACAATTATTGTGAAAATTCCGATATCACGTAAGACCTTTCGTGCCCCTGCCTTTTGAAGGAGACCAGAATGGTGCATTTAATACGGTCCTCCAGGTAAACTGCAGGGAGGGGGAAATGGAAAACGGAAATCTAAGCATTTAAGGCATCTCCATTAGCTTCCCTAACACCTGACATCCAAAGCCTCCTCAATCTTGGGCAGCAATACGCAAGTGCTTCGATTGCGTCGCTGCTGATTCGCTTACAAGGATCTTGGCCGAGATGGATGCTCTCAAGCATCTCATGTCTCGCTGCTATCAACATCAGTAATGTCACGACAAAGATCACCACTTATTTCTCCAAGTTCCCTTGCTTGAAGACCATCTATTGCACCTGCTGAGCCTGCTGCATGAAATTATGTCTGAAGATTCTTGCATCGTGAGACCGAGACTGCAGCTGCAGTGTCAAATTTGTAAGAACCAAGGTCCAATGACCCCCCATAAACTGACTACTATTAATTGGAAAATACCAAGGCTTTATTGGGGTGATAATGAGTTCTAAATCCATTAAGACTTGGAATCTTTAAAAAAGTCTTAATGTACAATTGGACCCTTAAAGCATACTTAAAAAACAGAAACTTTTCAAGGTACAGATGAGCAGCACACTGCCATCATTCCTGCCCGCTGCCGCCTACAGAATATGCTTGCTTACTTTCAAAGCCGACCCCGTTTGTGTTTTTTAATGACCTTATGCTCGTTTAAAAACATCCCTAATTGTTCGTCTTTAAAGTAACAGCCAAGCTGTTTTTTGTTGACTTTCACATTAACCATCAGTCAACTCCTTATTTGGCCTACGGGATTCTTCTTGACAACTGTGCAGTTTGTCCCATTCCTGGTTGACCTTAACATTCAAACAAAACTACGTCCTATATACGAGGCTTTTTATAACTTTTATTATAATTAACCCCCACTTATTTTGTTATTCATTTTGTCTTTAGATTTCTGAGCAAGTATTTGTGTTGATCTGAATAATTGTAAATTAGAACAGTGCATTGTTCTCAAGAGTTTTGTTGTATAAGGTCTTATATTCGTTGTATTCTAAATACATCTGCCATGTGCATTTGAATGTGTCTATATGTATGTATAGCTAGCTATATATATAAGACCTCAAACCCTGTGAAAGTGACCCATTGTCATGTGCAGAGATAAAACAATGCCGGAACCCCACACTTTTGTCGAGCTTCCGGTATTTGACGTCTCCCGGCCGTTGAGTCCGTCATCTCTCTCATCGCTCTCTCTAGCCTGCACTCAATGGGGCTTCTTCCGCATAACCAATCACGGCGTCCCCAAACATCTTTTCACAAACCTCTATTCCCTCTCGAATCGAATCTTCAGTCTCCCGAATGACTCGAAACTTAAGCTCGGTCCGACTTCATCCTTGAGAAGCTACACCCCTCATTTCATCGCTTCCCCATTCTACGAGAGCCTTCTAGTGTCCGGACCGGACTTCTTTGCATCTGCACAAAGTTCAGTCGATGTTCTTTTCGACCACCCGAATTCCGAGTTCAGGTAAAAAAATACTACATAACCAAATCTGCAGTGATAGTTTTTATGGATACAATATATGTGCTTTTCGTTTAGACGTTTACCAATGCCCTTGTTTTTGCTAGTGAGGTATTGGATGAATATGGGAAGATAATGAAGAAGCTATCGAAGGAGATAGTGAAAGCTTTGTTGCTAAGCTTGGCGGAAGATTTGGAGAAGAAATTTGACGAGTTCGAATTCGGAAACTGCCATGGTTATTTGCGAATAGGCAACTACAGTTCTCCCGAAGATGAAGTTGAAGGGCTCGGCATCCATACCGACATGAGCTGTTTAACGATCGTTCATCAACACGAAATTGGAGGGCTTCAAGTGAGATCGAAGGAAGGGAAGTGGATGGACATAAGCCCTTGTGAAGACACACTTGTTGTCAACATTGGGGACTTGATGCATGCATGGAGCAATGGGAAATTAAGGTCGTCTGAACATAGAGTTGTCTTGAAGAGAAACGTTAATCGGTTCTCTTTGGCTTTCTTTTGGTGTTTTGAAGATGAAAAAGTAATATTTGCACCTGATGAAGTTGTCGGGGACAATGATTTGAGGATGTACAAGCCATTTGTTTGTGCTGATTATTTGAAGTTCAGACTAATCGGTGAAGAGGGCAAGTTTGAGAGGGTTGGATTTACTGTAAAAGACTTTGCAGGAAACAATATTTGACTTTGATTTACATATGGGATGGGACGGAATACATACCAATTTGCTTTTGTTTTGTTCTTCTTTTTAAATTTTTCATTTAAATTTTACCATTCACAAAACCCAAATACACATCTTTAAAAAATAACATTGTAAAGAAAAAAAATTATATTTTTACTTTTTTGGTTCTTGAAATTCTCTTTTTAATAATGTAAATGTATAATGCAGACTCGAAAAGTAAGCTTCCAAGTTGTCAATCGTCAAGTTGTTATTTGTTTTTAAATAATATAAGATAAATTATAAATTTTATAATTTATAATTTAATTTCCATCATATCTTATTTTAATCATTAAATATTTTAAAATTTTAAATTAATCAATAAATTTTCAGATTGTTCTATCTTTTATCATTTGAACACTAAGTCATAAATATTAAAATAATGTGATCAATTTTATACGACATAAATTACATTTTGTAGACATATAAGCCACAGGTTGATCACATCATTTTTTTATACTTTTTTCGTCGTAAAGATAAAACACAAATTTTATTGTTATGTTACGTCCATGTTAGAATCGTCATTTTTCAAGTCTTCTTTAATCACATAAGATACTAATAAATTTACCTTATTGTTCATTGTCACTTTTTCAATTTAGGTTTTTCCCCCAAAATATCTTTAAAACCCATCAAATTCAACCCAAAATCTAGAGAAACGGCTATGATCTACAATCTTCACTGTTTTATTAACATAAAATCAAGATATATAACTCATTTCCTTTTTCTCCATATCTCTATTGTCGGAATATGTAAGAAAAAAGCTAATGAAATCTCAAATGAGGTTTTTCACAAAATAATAAGAAAGTTTTGAAGAACCTTCAGTATTTTTATAAAACAAATACTCAATCATAACACTGTTAATTATTTAACAATAGAATAATAAAAAGAAATAATTTGAAAGTTCAATGGTCAAATTAAAATTCTTTAGAATTTAATGATCAAAATAAAAATTAATTAAATTTGAAGGATGAAATTTATAATTTATCTTTGTATATATATATATATATATCACTAAGGTCAACACCAGAAAAAGAAACTGAAAAAAGTAGTCTAATTAACATGTAAAGCTAGGCCACAGCACAAAACCTACTCAATCATTCATCACGGCCCAAATAATCAAATGCTAAATAATAGAGATCACTGCGTTTGACAGCTACCTAAATGGTGCACGTTTGTAGGCTTAAAATTTCAAAGCCCCCACAGAGGTCAAATTACACCTCGATTCTCCTGTCACCTATGCCCCCACTCTGTGATGCTGACAGGGTAGCACATTAAACTTTGTTTCCATTTGAACCGCAAAGTTTCAACAATCGTAACCGTAAACTCAGGTGGTTTGAGCTCGAGTCACGACCACAATCAACAGGACTATAACAGATAACACTATTGAGATTCTCAACCTTTCATCAAACAGGTCTGCTGTTTTTGTTGTCCAGTCGTCGGGAGGAACCTGAAACAACTCATTGACGAGCTTTGTTATTTTATCGAACAACTCCAGCATCTTCGCTTTAGTGTTGTCGAAAATCCACTTCACCGTGCTTGTTGTCTCGCTCGATTTATCGAAGTTCTCGTCCGAACTCCCATCGAAGCTCATTGAACTACTGTCTTCAGGTGCTATAATCATCAAAAGTTGGTGTAAATTACATAAATATGACCAACATAAATCATTCTAGAAGTATAAAGTTGGACAGATCAACCTGCATAATATGAACGTCGGAGCTCCCTCACCATCTCATTGTTCAAAACAGCATTCCAAACAGCTTCATCAGAAGAAAATGAAGTTACCATTTCCTGCCGAAACACATAAACACCGATTATCTAGGTTGATTTCGTTCATAATTGATATTAATACTAATTTAGCAGAAATATCTATCGATATGCACATGCATAGTGTAAAAGTATTGCCATATGTAAGGCAACACAACATGCTGGTCATGCACAGGAATCAAAGAGTTAACGAAAGAAGAGACCTGAACCGTTGGATCTGTCTGCAGTAAATGGAAAGCATCGAAAATGTCGTTTGTTACGCAAGGATGAAATGCTCGTGCATCATAAAGTTGCATTGAAGGCTCTATCCAGTCTAACTCAGACCCAGCAGAACGAACCCTGTGCATCGAGCTAGCATCTGGGCTTGGAAATTGATCACCTATTTCCTTGTCAGCATTATAAGATAACTTATCCCTGATAAGTTCTCTTGACGAGCTTACACCAGCAACCCTATAATTAGGACATTTAACAAGACGATCGAAGTTGTGTCTGTACGACAACATATTTTTATTTTTATTTTCAAAGTCAAGTGATAGTAGATAGAGATAGAGAGTATATACATCTGTTCTCAAGTTGCCAAAAAGGTATAATTTTACCTACTTTTCCCATGTTTTGACAACTTAATCTAAAACTACCGTAGAAACATTGGTTTTTTAGATGAATACAAATCAAGACTTATATTAGGGAAATAAGTTAAAAGAGATAAACTGACACAAAAGTATCCTTATATGATTACAACAATATCGTCATGTATTGGTTCGAATTTGAAGATTATTTTTTGATATCAGAAGTCGACAATCACGACTCGAATAAAATCAACGAAGAATGACCATGACCTTCAATGTTAAAAGATAACTCCCAAACTCGAACAAAAGAGAAAAAAAAATTAATTTCCCTCTATATTATCATAAAAAACGTCAAATTACTCGGATACCGATTTTTACAAGTGTTTAAATATAGCCTTTATATTTTAACAAAAGTCTATGGACGCTATTATTGTCACCGATTCGATTCGTGTCTACAGTGTGTATCTTTTTAGTATTGTCCCTTTCGGCTTTAATTTCTCGATTGGTCCTATTTTTTTCCTTCGATTTTGTTCCCTTTGCCACCAAGGAGTGGTTTTTTGGTACGAATTTAGATTTTTTTAAACAAATAAAGACAACTTTACCCTATACTATTCTTTCAATTTTTCTAATAGATTATTTCGTTTCCAAAACATTCATTTTCCAATCACTTCTTTTAAACTTTTTCTTGTAAATAGAACATGCAGGTTTCGAGTTGCTTTTATGTTTCCATTGCATCACTATCAAATGCCGCCAACATAATAATCATCACAGTGGAAACAGAGAAGAAGAAAAAAATGGACAATTTCATCATTCTAGTACATACAGAAATGGGTAAATCAAACAATGTTATAGTTCATTTCAATTCAGAAGTTAATCCGCCAGTAAATGAATAAATAAACTGACCTTTGAAGAGCAGAGACAGCATTTTGTACTTCAGCAACAGAAGGGACAGGTCCTAAAACAAAATCACGCGGCTGCTGATTATCCCCCTCATGGCGAGGCACCCACTCAAAGTCATCAAAACAAGGAGGACCCGAGAAGGCAGGCGACGGCGACCCAGAATTGGCAGTGATGGGGACACCACTGTTACTGTTATAAGAACCCAAAGAAGAACTCCCAGAAGAAGAAGAAACATAAAGATAACCATTGGTATTGCTATTATTGTGCCTGCGGGTTGCAGAACTTGTAGAAGAAGAAAGGGGTTCTTGTAAAGTTGCAGTAGGGTTCTTGTAAACTGCTGCCCTTCCAGCGATTGCTCTCAACATGTTGGTTCCTCCCGCACCCCATCTCATGCCTTTGCCGCCTCCACCAAACATCATATAAATCTAGTGGAATTTTCACAGACTGCAAAGTCTATGGGCTGGTTGATGGTTACGAGATAGTTTTCTTTCGAGTTTTTGGAGTTTGGACTTCGGATAGAATACGATTGGATTCTATTTTTTTAGAGAAATTTATAGGATATGATTTAATTGGACAGGAAGTGCTATTTATATTTATATACACTTCTCATCTTTCTTCTATGAAATTGGAGTAGACTTATTCTCACACGGGTAGGCCCGGCTGTACCCAAGTCATATTTGAATGGGTGACCCGACTAGGGCTGTAAATGAGACAAGATAGATCGTGAGTTACTCGAGATCGACTCGATTAAGGCTCGATAAATACTCGAATTGAATGGACTCGAGCTCGAGCTCGACTCAAGTTCTTAACGAGCCTAAACGAGCTACTCGATATTCGACTCGAAAAGCTCGTGAGCAGCTCGAAAAATGTTATATTATAATTTTAGATTTTTTAAAATTACATTATTAAAAATACATTAAAAATACACTATTGATAATTATAAAATTTTAAAAATATATTAAAAATTCTATAATACAATTACCTCAAAATTTAATTAATATCCTTGCAATGAATTCTAAACCATAAATCCTAAATCATAAACCATAAACCTTAAACCCTAAATTGTACTGACCTCATAAATCAGTACTAAGTCGATTAATTAATATCTTTGTAATAACCTGAAACACTAAATCATAAACTATAAACCCTAAATCATAAACTATAAACCCTAAACCCTAAAATCTAAATATAATTATGTGATAGGGGTTAAGTTATGCGCATGAAGGTAACAAACAAATTATGCAAAATGATGTTATGTGACTCCTAAATAAATCCATCGCATACTTATACATAAACATATCAACATGCAAAATAAATATACACAACTAATTAAAGAAAACAATCCTAAACATGGACTAAATTAAGAGAAATCTAAATGTGAGGACTAATTTCAGCTAAATCTACTAACTTTATAATGATGATTAAATTCACGTAAATGTAAAATTAAACTTACAAAATTGGAATTAAACCAATGACTTAAATACAAAATATGCATAAACTACAGGGTCTTATATGCAATTAATCCTATTCGGTTTAAACTAAAATAACATGGAAAATAACATAAATGACACCTGAACATTTAAAACAAATAATAAAATTTAAACAAATTAGGGAGATAATTTTAATTTTAAGCTAACATATATTTGAAACAAATTGGATATTACCATCTATCTTTTAAATGAATGTTGAATTTGTAATCTCATTCAAATAGAGCCTTTCAACCTCAAAAGCTCCAAAATTCCAGCTTTTGTAATCTTTTAAGCAACTTCCTTTTGAGGGACTCGGGCTCGGCATCCTTCGCCTTATTATGTTGGCTGCTGGCGAGAAACCATAATTCTTATTACATGTCGTCTTGGAACAAAGCCTTTGAGACAGGACTGGGAGGGTGAGCTCTGCTATCTCTATGGTCTTCATCAGCTTATGAGTCATGCATAACTATACTCATGTATTTTCAGTACTTACCTGTCTCGTGATTGGATCAAAGAGAATGTTTTGAATTTTCGGATCTTGCATTGCCCTGGTCTGCAACATTTTACCAGATTTACATAGTCAGGGCCTTCCAATCGATTTTCAAAAGGTAGGTGTAAACAACATAAACGAAAAATGAAATAACTTGCCTATCTTTCCTTCAATTCTTCAGGGCTCAAATCACCTCGACTAGCTTTGTTGATCTGTTCTACACACATGCATAATAGTCGACAGGTAAATTATATGGCATTGGTGAAATAGAAACACGAAACCAAAAACATAAAACAGAAAGTCATATATATACCTTCAAACACCATCTAGCAAATATGGGTTATTTGGATCATGTTTCAATCCTTCATGATATATCTCTAAAGCTTTGTCATACTCCTCTTCATGAAGAATTGAACTGCTCCCTTTCTTGTGTAACCCTTGGAAAATGTTGGATCAAGCTCAATGCACTTCTCAGCATCTTTCAATCCCTCAGGCAAAGCACCCAATTTTGTGTAGCATGCGGCTCTATTGTTGTATGCCTGACAAGGTGGCCTTATATCCCACATCTTTAAGATAGAAGCTAGTGCTCCCCAAGTGATTCTATAAATTAAAGCTCAAACTCAGTGTTTTAATTTACTGAGCCACGTGGTGAGCATTCGAGCTTGAATCGAGCTCGAGCTCTTGAATCTTTTGTTTTTTGAGTTCGAGCTTTTTCAAGTTCGAGTTGAGTTTCAATACTATCTTTCGAGTCGAGTTTGAAAATTTTAGGCTCGCGAGTTTTCGAGTCGAGCTTATATTTAAAGTTTTCGAGTTCGAGTCTAGCTTGGCAATATTTGAGCTCACTTGGCTCGTTTACACCCCTAGATTCGACTAGGCTTATATATAATTTAATGGTAAAAAATAACGGGAGTTAATCATATTCAAATGATAATTTTATTGTTGATTTTTTTAAAATTAAAAATAATTATTAAATCTATTAAAATATTATAAAATAATTATTAATTTTTTACATTTGTTATAGCATCGTAGTGATCACTTTAAATAATTTAATAAATTTAATGATTATTTTATAATTTTTACAAATATAAAAGTTAAAACAATCACTTGAATATATTTCGACATCTTATATAATCTATTCTTAATTTAAATAATGTGTATAACAAAACCTACCACTAAAGAACCATGTCCATCATATATTGATACGAAGGAAAAAAAAATTAGAGGAACAAATGGGATTAGATATTCTAGTAGCTTAGTCGTAAAGGATAAATATTTGACGTAGTGTATATTGATTCATACAAGTTACATAAAACTCTAATAAAATTTTATTTTAAAATCGAACTCGATCTAACTTGTTCCAACCCAATTATCTTATAACTCACATGATATTTTTACTGATTTTTTTTATCGTCAATCTTCTAGGTTTTGTGTTCTAGAATGACACTTTAAGTTGACTAACTCTTGAGTTAAGATCTTAATTTTGTTCTTATTTTTAACTAAAATAGTTATTAGTGTTGCTTATTTAAATTCACTGATAACACAATAGAAAAAATTATCAAATTAAAATATATAGATTAAATCTTAAAATCGTTTGTAAATAAAAAGACCAAAAATCATAATTTGACCCAAAACATTTCACATTTAAGTTAGATTTTGTGGGCCATTGTATTGTTTTATATGTAAAAGCGGAGTCTACTTGGATCCGTTTAAATCATTGGCCCAATTGTGGGATCGACCAAACAGCCCACTTGAGCCGAACCCAGAAAAGGGTAAAATGGTGAATTCATGTTACCCGATGCCTTTAGACCCTAATGAGACTCCAAGTTCATCATATTTATATATCTTACGTTTGAAATCTCCTTAGCCGGAGCCAGAGGCCGCAGGGAGTTCAAGCAGCCACGGGTACGCCATTTTAGGTAGCATTTCCCCTCTAATAATCATGATTTAGCCACTAATAGTTTCCTCAGATTGTTTCCTGTTTTTCGTTAATACAATGACTTTCTATATCTGGAATTTGTTTGTATATTCATTTATGTTGAATGGTTGTATTTTCTCAGCTTGATCTATTGTCCTTCATTGATAGAATCTGAAACTTTTCGAAGGTTTGTTTTTGGTTCATCAATAATTTAGCTTCTCAGCTTTGTTTTCGTTTTGTTATATGTTCTAGATACACGGAGTAGATGCTAATTAGTATAAATTGGGGCTTTTGGTTGACTGGATGTTTCTTAAAATGAGAATGGTTACATTTATTAGCTTATATATATGTGTATGTCTGTTTGATTTGGCGCTTCGAGTTATGATTTTATATTTGTTGGGGTTTTGTGAATCTAGGGGCTTACAAGTACGTGTCAGAGTTATGGAGGAAGAAGCAATCCGATGTGTTGAGGTTCTTGCAGAGAGTCAGATGCTGGGAGTATCGTTAACATCCTTCAATTGTGCGAGTTAACCACCCGACTCGCCCCGACAAGGCTCGTCGCCTGGGATATAAAGCCAAGCAGGTAAAACCTATTCATTGTTTCTTTAATCTACTTTCTGCCATTCCATTTTTGTGAGCCTTGGTTTCCTATCTTCTAAAATTTGATATATCTATATTTGCTTTGTTGATTTGCCATCATTTGTGCATCGAGGAGATTTTCTGTGTTTTACTACTTTATATGCCTGTTTGTTATTTCTGGTGACCGAATCTGCTTCTTAATAGGGTTATGTTGTCTATCGTGTCCGTGTGAGATGGGGCGGTAGGAAGAGACCAGTTTTTAAAGGTATTGTTTATGGGAAACCCACAAACCAGGGTGTCACACAGCTGAAATTCCAGCGCAGCAAGCGATCAGTTGCAGAGGAAAGAGCTGGTCGGAAACTTGGTGGCCTTAGTGTTGTAAATTCATATTGGATCAATGAGGTGAGTTAAATACCACAAATAAAGCACCTCTTTTTTTAAGACAATAGTTATTAAGACACTAGCTATCCTTTTTGACCTAAGATTTCATTAAAAGTGACTTATCATCTTATTCTTCAAGTGAAGAATCTATAAACACCATTATTATTTGTATCGTGCATCTTTATAGAGCGATAGCTATTCGTGTATGGAAATTGTGGCAAACCCTTTTTGTTGGATTCCTTATTTTAATGTTTGCAGGATTCAACTTAAAAATACTTTGAGGTCATCTTGGTTGATCCTGCCCACAATGCTATCCGCAATGACCCAAGAATCAACTGGATCTGCATTCCGGTGCACAAGCACAGGGAACTCCGAGGACTCACCTCTGCTGGCAAGAAATACAGGGGTCTTCGCGGCAAGGGACACTTGCACCACAAGGCTAGACCTTCAAGAAGGGCAAACTGGAGGAGGAACAACACACTCTCTCTCCGTCGCTACCGTTGATTCCTCTGGACCGGATTGTCCGTTCTTGTTGCACCTTACCTTCATATCTTTTGCAAGGATGAGAATTTTGAGACTGATAATATATTTGTATTTAGGCATTTAATGATGTGGCTGTGGAGAAAAAAAAAACTTCCTTTAAAGTGTGTAATGCTATGATACTGAGTAGTCATACTCTAGTGTGTTGGTTGAACTTAAAAA